CTTTTTAAGATATTAACTGTCAAGGCTCTGTATGGGCGGCTTATCAAACAAAATGTAATTCACCCTACAAATTTACCATCGTAGATTTTTTTTTTTTTTTTTTACAATACGTCCACTTTCAATGCAAGATTATACGTGAATACATTCTTATCTTGTTTGTTTGTTTTTAATTTGATACATACGTAAAAGAGAAGATACATGTTTTGATTTTGTCAATTTCTGTACTATGTGTTTGTGTTTTCTTAAAGCTTCTGCTTGTTATTTTTCAAATAAAATATGATTTAAACAAATTTATTTGTAAAAAATACATTTTGCTGAACAGTTAATTTCAGCCGAAAGAATTTGCAATCGTACTATTTTGTCTTTTCAAGTCAAATAAATCCAAGTCCGTGTTCAAAAAAGGTTTTCTTTGATATTTACAACAATCATAGCGCTTACTAGAATATTATTGATACCAGCTAATGGCTTTCTTGGCCGGCTTTTATCTGAACGTCGAATTTTCAAAATAACAAATTTTATAACCAGAATGTTTTTAGACCAGCTAAAAAAAAAAAAATTAATTTATATAAACAAAATTTGTGATATTTGCATTAATACACATGTCCATGAGTTGAATATGGAAAATTAACTTGAATAAAAAGAGTGATTAACAATAAAGATATTCAATGTCTAATCCACGTTGCAATTCTACAAAATTGTTTAAATAGTTTGTCAAATTACTTGTAATTAAAATTTAATATTAGGCATCAACAACATACATGATGAGCATAATTATATGAGAAATTTTCATGATTTTGTCCATTTTCTATAAAGTAATATACCAGGGAAGAGGGACGCTGTAACGACTTATAAACATACAGAACAATTTACCAAGACTAACAATAAAAAGGACATGACAGACTACTTACAGAAAAAGAACAAATCAGTACTAAATAAAAATATAACGTGGAGAGGTTAATGCAGTGCATTATTCCATGAAAATGCATTAAAAAGGCATCATTTTTATTCCTAATTGAAAAAGGTCTACCCAATGTCACACAGAATAATCCTTTGAAGTGTTTTTCTTTCCCCTTTTTTTAAATTAGAAAAGGTTGATTGATAAGTCATATTACCTTAAAAGTTACATTTATTACCGAATATTTTGAATTTTCTGAAAACTACTGAAGCTTGATAATAGGAATATAGAGTTTTTAAATAAATGTTAAGTCTTTACGTTCTATAACTGCATAGTCCAATATGAATATTTTTATTTCTATTTTAATTACACACTAATATGCAAATGTGGTACATTTTCAGAAAAGTCAAAAATGTCAAGGTTTTAAACTTGTTTCTTTTGGTAAATAAGGACTGATAACGTTAATGCATTTTATAATACCCCTGTTTGAAAATTGGGATATATATTAAGAGGGTGTACATTATCCTTGGGGATAACCATCATAACCATCCCGTATCTGCAACTCCTCTAACACCATGAAACTTTCACGAAATCTTTATTCCGTAGTGGCATAGTGTGCATTTCATCTTACGTTTCGATAGGACTTACATTTGGGGTTTCCCATCACAAAACATTTACTTTGCCTTTCTTTCTATGATATTGGGGAAACCCATCTTTTATTTGCAATTCCTACTATAAAAAAAATAAATAATAAAAAAATAAAAAATAATATATATATATATATATATATATATATATATATATATATATATATATATATATATATATATATATATATATATATATATATATATATAATTGAATGAGACTCGCAGAATCTTTATTTCAAAGTGCTCTTCCTATTTTACGTTTTGATCAGACAAATAATTGGAGTTTCCCATAACTCTATTTATTTAAAGTCACAAGGTCAAATAATTTTAAGTTAAAAAAAAATTCCAAATGTTAAGATCCTTTGCTTGATACATACATCAGACTGTGTACAATGGCTGCCTCTGTCTAGTAGATCATCCCTAGTTGTCCTTATATAAGTATAAATACTCCAAATTTAAGCTGACCCTTTTCACTGTTACACCTATAACCATATATGTTTCATATACAATTTTTCCTTCAAGTTATCTGTAATCTTCATCCTTTGGTTATGAACTATTTTCTTTTTTGAGTCCATCATGTGTAACAGGAAAGGAGAAAATGTATGACTGGACTAGGAATAGAACCCCAACCCCTGCATCACTACCCAGGTGCTCTCTGGGAACATAGCATTTCACTGTTGACTACTTACTGATATAAAATAAGGAGAAAGTATTTGAAACTGAAGATAACAGTTTACTTAAGTGTAATAATCAGAACACATTAATAAACATATAAATGCAATTCAAAATAATTTCCACATATTCACATTTTCTTTCATACATCAAGTGTTGAAGAAACTAGAAGAATATTTCCCATTTTAAACAAGAAATAATAAATTTGTCCAATTTTAAATTGCATATAATTTGATTTACATTGTAAAACCAGCTCAAAAATTCAATACTGGATTGTAAGAACTAGCGCTGTATTTGTACATGTATATTGTAACCAAAATACTCGTACAGATCTTGAAAATAAGGAAGCAAAAAGTTAAATAAGAATAAACTGTGCATACATGTATAAGTAATGAGTTCTTCTATGATAGTGTAACAATAACAATAGCTGTCTAACATTATAATGCAGTATTCAATTCATCAATGTAATGCAATAAGCCTGCCGACTAATCCATTCATGTATGAATACATAATGAAATATGCTGAAATCAATTCAATATTTATTGCTCAGGAAAATATGGGAAATTCAAAAATGTGCTTTCAATCACAATATAGTAGATACATTCAAATGATTTACTAACAACAAAATAGAATATGTGTATGATAAGTAATATTATAATATGTGTGAAATAATTAAGCTTCTAAATTATGCATATGGCAGAGAACTTAATGAAGAAAATAATATACCTACAATGCTTGCAAATGATTGCAGCAATAATAGTAAAAAAATAAAAATAGTTACAATGGTATGTAAAAGAGTAACAAGGGGCCCATGGATCTTAACGGTCACCTGAGTATAAAACAACCCTGAGCAGAGAAAATTTTCTAAGAAATAATGCATTTTCACAAAATAATCAATAGAGCGAGCCCACCCTGACACCAGAATCCCTGACCCAGGATCCTTGAATTCAACAATTTTGAAAGAGGCATTCTTGCTCATCATAACCATGGCTTAGTTTGTCTGATAAATATACAAAGGGAGAGAAGAAGATTTTTAAAGAATTAATGCATATTCTCTATATAATCAAATGAGTTCTGACCTTACACCAGAACCCCTGACCAAGGAGCCATGAATTTCACAATTTGGTAGAGGAGTCAATTCTTATTACAATCATGCCAACAATTTAAATGCGTGATGTTCAGGAGCAAAGGAGATTTTCAAAGATTGCATTAATTTTGATGGTTTTAGCCACACCCTCAGTCTCCAAGGGTAGGGACCATAAAACTCACAATTTTTGTTCCCCTTCACCCATTGATGCCTTATGCCAAAATTGGTTAAAACTGCCAGAGCGGTTTCAAAAAAGCAGCTCAAAATGTCAGTATGTTAACACAACATTGACAAGAGTGATTCGGGTGACCTAATAACAGTAATAATCTACACTGCTAGTAAACAATTCTATTATTGAAAGTTTCTCATTTCAATTAGTAAATATCACATGCTTGACAAAAAATTCAAACATATACTCATTCAATACTTAATTATATTTCTCTTCTCACAGGAGTGTGAAAATTGTGCTCTTTTCTTAAATTGATGATTAACAAATTCTTGTTCCACAAGTAAAATATACAATGCATCATGAAACTATTTGCTGTCATATAGGAAAGTTGATCTTTAATCCTTGTCAACCCTGCATTTGATTGTTCATTGCATTGGCTGTTTTTGGCAGAGAATTGTGGGTACAAGGACAAATCATAAGCAATGCTTCAAGCTGAAATACAAGAAAAGTCAATGTTAAAATATGAATCATGAATAAATTAAAAAAAACATTTTCAAATTCAAAAAAGAAGATTTGTGTACATGTGGAAGCTTCAAACATACAAACTCAAAAAAAGGTACATGTATAGTAATTCAATATACATGAATAACATTAAAAAAATTACTATTGAAAAATTTCAGTAAGTTAGACTTCATCCTCAGGCAGAAATAGTCTAACTAGATATCACTGGGATAGTGACCATCTTAAGGGGCCTGCTATTTTTTGTAAAGGTCATTGGGATGAAATAGACTTAGTGTAGAGGAATGTATTTGGAGCTTGACCTTGACTCTTGACTTACACCTTTACCCTTGGACACTCTTTGTGTGAGGTATGAGCCACAATGGGCCACAGGGAGAACATATGTTCATTACAAGGATTTTAAACAGAGATCTGCTATAATCTTGACCTTGAATCTATAAAATTGGTTCAAGGTCATTGTATACCCATAACCATTTAGCACTCTAACCATAAAACACATGTTAGTTTGGACCAAGGGGAGAGATATAAGCCCTAGACAATGATTTACACACTTTGACATTGCTCTTGATTAAATGAATTGGTTTAAGATACCTACACATCCTCTCTATTCACAAGCAATATGTGGCTGAAGATTTAGCAAAGATTGGGAAGGGGAAAGAAAATATGCTTTGCATGGATTTAAAACAGTAATATTTTTTTTGTTGGTACCTTAACCTTCGATTAAAAAACAGTATGAAGAAAATAAGGCAGAACATTCAAGAACTAAATGAAAAATGTGGACTTCCTTATACCCCTATCAGAGCGGAAGGAGATGCCCGGTATAATAATGCCACCTTCAGTGCCATTGGAAAAACCCCATTCCAAGCGACTTATACCGTAAGTGAAAATGTAACTCGGAGGAAAAATGTTGTGGCAGTGTTCTGTGGGAATAAACTATGCAAAAAAGGTGCACACCTAAGAAGCAAAGCAAAGGAATGAAGTTGCCTGCCAAGGACACAAAGACTGCACTGCAACCATTCCTCCAGAGACCACCACTGGAGATGAGAAGTGATGGACTGCAAAATGTATTGGTGAGTTACAAAGTGATGACCATCCCCTAGTCATTTCCCATTTCACCAGTGATGGAGAAAGTGCCGCTGCATCTGGTGAATCTGAAAAACAAGGACATGCCATTGAAAACCTTAAAGACTTGCATCATTTCTTTGACTCTCAAAGAAAACAGACTGCTAAGGCTCTATTCAGCAGTCACATGTTTCTGGGAAGAACCAAAGCCATAAGAGAATCCATGCAGAGAAGATTTGGCTTGGACCTGAAGCTTCGATGCAGGACAGAGTACTAAACACCACTCTGGAGACTTACCTTTGATGAAGCGGGCTATGTCTACTGCTGTCAGTTCCATCGTAAGTTGCTACAAAGGACAGTGTGGGAAGTTCTGTCAACTTTATTCCTTTTCCTGTCGTGGACTGAAAAGCAATAAGTGGAAATCTTCAGTGTTGCCTACTGACTTTGAATTAAACATGACAGAAGAAGACAAATGTTTGTTAAAAGACTATATAAATTTGACTTTAGGACCAAGTAATCTTGATAGAATTAAATATCATACTTGTACACAAAAATATGGATCTGTGAATAGGGCATATTTAAAATCAAATCCAAAATGTATTACAAGTAGTAGAAATTTTGAAAGTAGAACATACAAAGTTGTGCACTCACTGAATAGGGGTCATGGAAACTCAACATTGGAACTTCGTGAATCTGCAGGGGCACCTGTTGTAAAAGGAAGTAGAGTGGTCCATCATCTAAAACAACAACAAAATAAGCAAAATTACTTTAAAATGAAACAAAAACTGTTAAAATATAAATCTCAAAGAAAATACTTTACATCTAAAAGATATCAGCTGTACGATAAAAAATCTAAAGACACTTACAGTAAATCACCAACAGATCCAAAATTAAAATGAAAGTTGTAAGACTGTATGGTAATAATTGTTGCTATGTTTTATTATGCACTGATTCTATTCAACTGTGTAAATGGGGAAAATGTGGATATGTAAATGATGTATAAAATTGTACATGTAAAATGTGACATTTTCTTTTACAAGGGAGTCTGTACTTGTAAATATGTTTGATTTTTTATCATTTATCTCATTAAAATTATTCTAATTTATTTTCTTGTTTTTCTTACCTGTCTGATGAACACAACAAAGGTTACGGAGGTGTTTGGTAGAAATACAGGTATACGGGTGTCAAAACTCTCTCTTGATGACCAGACTGCATCCCACATTGTATATCCACCATTATTGATCTGTAACAGGGGAGACTACTCCTGAAATCAGAGAAATTGCAGTCAAAATGAGAGTTACCTGTTACTCTTTAGGTCTCACAGAAGGAAAAAATTTCACTATATGTTACTATATAGCTTTAATTAATAAATTAATTAACTAGACTCTCAGCAGATAAGTCATGAAAGAGATAATAAAGATTAATACTTAAACAAAAATTTGAGATCAGAAAAAAATAAGCCTTATGCGACTTTTAAGAAAAAAAGTTGAATGTAAACATACCTACCCCGAAATACATGTAGATTTCACATGTTGACAAACAGATCTAGACTTACACACCATCCAGGAAATTGCTTCATGCACACCTAAAAATGAGTTCCCTTTAATTCAGTGGGACAATTGTGCTAAAGATATGATATACCTAATACATGAGTCCAAAATTAATACTGTAGGCCTAAAAACGATGCCGAAAATGAAAAAATAAAAAGAAATTGTCTCTAAATATATAGAACTATAATTAACTAAGTTCAATTTGATTGGCTATTTCCTTGGGTAAGACCTTTAAGTTGTCCATAAATTACAGCTCTTGTATATACCGGTATTGACATTGAATTTTCAGTACATACCTGTATGACAATTCAAGTGCAGTCAATTGACATAAAATTCTGAAGTCTGGAAAGACAAAGGGTCCATCTTGAGACAATAATGCTCTAATTTACAACATTTTCATTTATAATGAATTAGGTGCTGAAGAAAGTATAGAGTATGTGCCAATAAAATTCTCAATATTCAGTGTATAAAATAGACATACTTTGCAAAATGCAGATATCAATCTCACAATTATTTAATTACCTTATCTAAATTATGTTCTCAAAAAATAGTGAATGGCACATTTGGTAACTCAAGGGACTCCATGACTTGAAAACCAGCAAAACATCTGAAATTAAACAGAACAAATATAATAATACTACTTATATAAGTTAGCATTTCAAATGATATCATGATTTAAAGTGACTGTTATATGTCAATAGTCTCATGCTACAGTTTGTATACATGAGACCATGTGTATTTGTGACTGTTATATGTCAATGGTCTCATACTACAGTTTGTAAACATGAGACCATGTGTGTTTGTGACTGTTATATGTCTATGGTCTCATGCTACAGTATTGTAAATATGAGGCCATGTGTGTTTGTGACTGCTATATGTCTATGGTCTCATGCTAC